TCATGTAGTACCAACTGACTCCCATATATATTTTACAGCGTTAGTTGCATTTTTTTTCTTAAGGAAATTTGGCATGTACTGTACCTGATATATATCCAAAATAATCGACATCGGATCGAATCGAATCGAATCGAATCGCAAGCTTGTGAATGACAATCGAATCGAATCGTGAAATTTGTGTCAAAACCCAGCCCTCATTATATCATATTGTTTTAATTATTAGTAAAAATTCAGTAGTGACTAGGCTACTTGGTCTTTTATAGTTGAATTTAATTTTGAATATAAACTTTTTTTTGTAATTGAACATAATTAAAGTAGCCATTCTAATATTACATGCATATAATTTGCCTTTAAACTGTCGCTTCTGGCCAAAATACTGGCATAATAATAACTTACTCTACCTGTAATACTACATAGTTACTATCAGAATATTTCGTTTTAGTCAGTGAAAATAAAATAACTAGTCACTACTGTATTTAAATATTTAAATATACTTATTAAATATTTAAAAAATAAATATTAGTGATATAAAAGTAGTTATTAGTAAAAAGAATAACATGAAAATAGCTTGCCACAAAACCCATATACCCATATGCCATTTAATGAGGTGGAGGTTCTTTTGATTTCTGTCTAGAAAAGAACTATTAATAAAGACTGACATATGAGAATGTCTCACACATCTCCAGAGGTTTCAGACATGTCCGGTGATTGGAAATATGTGGCTCCAAAGTCCATTTATTAGTGAAGTGACGTGTGGCCGAGTATGGTGACCCATATTTGGAATTTGTGCTCTGCATTTAACCCATCCATGTGCACACACACCTGGAGCAGTGGGCAGCCGTGTGCTTTGACGCCCAGGGAGCAGTTGGGGGTTCGGTACCTTGCTGAAGGGTTTCATCTCCGTCGTGGTATTGAGGGTGGAAGAAAGCGCTGGTTATTAGAGGAAAATTATTTTAACTGCACTGGTTGTTTGCTGAATTAAACAGTTTGAAAATATATAACAGTAAAAGAAATGTAACATTTGGACACTCTTCCATTTGGTTCTTCCTTTTTTGTGTTAACGTTTTCGCATTCCACATTGACTGTTTCTTTAGTCTGTTCAGCAAGTAAATAACTGCAACAAAGTGGGTGTGCATATTGTTTCTCATGGTTGTTCCTCAAATGTGCTGAATATCACACATGCCAGATTTAGATTGAATGTGCCCCTGTTGTCCTCGTGTTTTGGCATCAACCTGATTTATTTACTTCACAAGAGAACAGGAAAATTAGGGCAGATGGGAGAGAACTTAAAATGTGCCAAGGCATCAATAATCGAATAGTGAGCTTGCTGAAATGACAAGTTCTACCATCTGGTCCATAATGTACTACTTTTTGCTGTGATCTACAGATGAGAAGTGCATTCCACATTATTCAGTCAACCATAAAACTGACCCTGTATTTACTTTCTTAATCCAAGTTCCTGTGTTCATAATTACACTGGCCTGTACACTGAATATCCCTTTTCACTCAGACTTCGAGTGGTCAAATTACGGAAGTAAAATGGGTTAAGAAAGTTGTTTAATGCTTATTTCAATCACTAAAAGAAATACAAACAGAAGCTTCCAGTATAGCATGCTTGAGATCACTGCTAACAGTTTAACCAAATTAAAACATCTTTTAATTTAGCTTTCATTTAAATCTTTATTGGACTAGGGTAAATGCTCTGAGAACATCTCAAATCTTATCTTCATTCACAAATACACTCTAGGGATGTGAGAGGAAGATTGGAAAGACAAAAGCACATGAAGAAATAACATGCAGCAATCAGGCAAACATATATTATAATTATTACATTTATATTCAATTATTATAATAAAAATAAAAATATTACATTTTTATTTCTTAAAAAATATAATGTATTTATTTTATATTTAAAACACAGGACAACTTACCTCTATCTAGTATGTTTCAGTATATTTAAAGCTATTAATATGCTGACCTAAGATAAATGATTTATCATTTTGCTCTAATTTTTTGGAAAATGAGCAGAAGTTGCATTTAGTGGCTCTCTGTGCATAGTCAGGCTATGCACAGGTTTGTGGGCAGCCAAAGGAAATGGGAGACGAATCCCCCTTTGGCACAGTTGCTCAGCAGACATTGTCTCTCACTTCTGAACTTTGAAACAGAGGAACGTGATGTTAGTTTGCAGAAATGTGGGCAGTCTTGATGTATAGTTGAGTCTTTATCCTCAAAGAAATTACTCCTTTAAATGCAAATCTATGCTTTGAACAGAAGATACAGAATGCAGACTTTTTTCTTTATATTTTTGTAATGGTCTTTTAAAAACAAGGTAAAAAGCTAAACCTAACATACCAATGAACAACAGACAGTCAAGGAAGTGAAATAAAAATTCAATTAATATGAGGTATCCACCTTATTTTTCAATGCGAAAGTAAGCCGTTTTCTGTGAATGTGCGAGACTTCCGGTTCATTAGCCGCTGTAGGGAAATAACGAGAAGAATAACAACATGCAGTAAACGGTAAAACTCTGCGCTACAAACCAGTGTGTTCATAATAAAGATAATACATAAAAATAATATGGTAAGACACACCAATTTGCAATATCAAGCAGCAAAACGAGCTGTTTTGTAGCTGGAAGCAAATTACACCAGAAGCCAGACCCATACAATTTACAAATGGCCGCGCCAGTTCTTACAGGAAAAATTATGTGGATAAATAAAAACACAAAAAATAAAAATTTTGTGAAAGAAAATCAAATGTCTAAATGTGTAAAGTATGAACAAAAGGTCAATTTTCTTATAGTATTTATTAAACAGGTCACCTGTCTGTTCATACTGAAACTAGACTTCTTTATACTATTCTTGAAAATAATTGAGGAAATTCATTAGGGACGCTGGTATCAGTATCGGGCCCGATACTGGTCTCCTGTAATCGTACTCGTTAAAATGCCCCGATACCACACAGCATGTGTTAAGCGCCATATTCAAACAAAGAAACACCAACAACAGACAGCAGAAAGGAGTTAAGGATGTCTACTACGAAGTGTATGTATGCATATGCAATTAATATAATGTTAAACATTCAGTATTAACGCCTGTATAGCTAATGTGCGCGAGCTGATAAACAAAGCACGCTGAGCGCGAGCTTGTCGAGTGAGTATATCTTTCTCACAGACATCACTGGAAAGTTTGTAGTTCGGTCGGATATGTCAAAAACAAGTAAAACAATGCACAAGTTACTTAACGGTAGGGAGAGAAAGAGAGCGCGCGCACTTCTGTTGTGTGATCTTAGATGTTCACTAGCACAAACATAATTTGGATTAAAACTAAATCGTAAAAATAAGACAATTTATTGGGGCATTCACTATAAACATAATTTATTTTCAACCTTAGGTACAGACGACTTTCAGGCGAAAGTGAAACTAGCATCCTGTGTGAAATGCACTAGGCTGTACTGTTTTGCATCAGTACAAATACCTGCACGCGTTGCGCGTGTTTTGCTTGCTTGAGTGTTTCTGCATTATATGAGTGGCTTTGGAATATAAATCGCAGCACGTTTCAGATGAAAAAACGCGACTTCTATTTCTGAAAATATCACAGTTAGGAGATTTATAACGAGTGGTTCCCTGCATTATTACAGCAAAGCGCGTGATTACAGTATACTACTAAGCCACTGCAGTGGAGCAGCTCTAATGCTATTAAATGAAAGATGATGTACCACAGAGCAAAACAATGAACAGTGAAAGTAACAAAAACTTGTAAAATACATTTAATGGGCATAATTAAGTGTGAAAATAACAGAAGGATATACAGTGAAACCAAACATGATTCAGAGACCAGATATAATTTTTTATATATTTTTTACTAGTGGGTGCAGGACACTATAGTTCATTTATGTAAGTGAGGATAGCAAAATAAAGTAAACTGTGACAAATCATACCCAAAAATTCTTCATACAGTGGACTACCAGTAAAATTGATACAAATTTGGGTCCAAAAATTATTCAGACCGAGTCTGGGAAAAAAAATGAAGTTCAGGTTTGCATGAAGCTGGATGACAGCATGCCCAGGAGACTATATGCTGTCATTAAGGCTAAGGGTTGCCCGACAAAGTATTCATAGTTGTGTAAATACTGTCATACTAAAAGCTGTCTGAATAATATTTGGTTGATTGTAATCTATTACATACCTTTCTATCATATTACATACCGATAAATTATCTAGCATTATCAAGCTGAATTTGTTCTGACACAGTTGAACTCTGAGTTCTTGTCATATTTTATTACCATTTTCTAAACTATAGCGAATAAACTGTGATAATGTGAGAAATGTTGAAGGTGTCTGAATCAATTTTAGTTTGACTGTATCTATTTGATAAATGAAGTTAACCAACTAACATTATACATACCCTTTTGGTTTGTGTACCCAATATTTAAAAATTAGACAAATGCAATAAAAATATCGGTATCGGTACCGAAAATAAAAGTATCGGTATCGGGCGAGTACTGGAAAAAGTGGTATCGGTGCATCCCTAAAATTCATCAAAGCCTTTAGCTGTTTTGTCATACTCATACATCAAAAGTGAGGGCTTGTGACAGGGAAATACATCACTGCTTGAGGGAAAAAGTGTAAAGCAGGTTTTTGCAAACAGGTTCGTAAAGATGAAGTCCAATAACATTTGTACAACTTCAAAGAAATTTATTTTTGGTTTGCTCATGTCAGTTCACTTTTGCCATTGCATCAGCTTTACTTGGCCTTCTGTGTAACCTGATCTAGAGAGTTGACACAACTTGTTGATGAGGTTTTGAAGTTGTTGTTGTTTTTCATCCTCCAATGTATGGGGAACTTTTCAGAGAGAAAGTTTAATTTAAAAGTAACTATATTGAATATATTTGCTGACAAATTACTATAGTTTTTGCATTACAAAAATTATGGTCTATAGTAATAATATTAACTTTCAAAACACAGAATACTATAAACAAAAAAAGTTTTGTAAAACTATAATTGTATTACAAATCATACAAATAGACTTTACTTCCTCATTCACCCATTAAATAGTTAAGAGAAGTGAATTATTTTCAATCAGGTATTCTCTTATGTCCTACTACAAGATTCTTCACATGCTCACGGCTAAAATAAGCAATTAACTGCCATTTATCTCTGAGGAATGTCTGATACCATGAATATAATGTTTTGAGTCACTATGCCAGATGTCCAAAAGCACAGAATTCCTAAGCTTACGTAATAATGTAAACACAGTCAGTCTTGTGCTGAAAATATATTTTTGATCATAGAGTCAGAAATCGCTTCTTCAATACCAGTACAAATCCTTAGGTATTTCTGAGGCAGGCACACCTGAAAAACACAAGATGATCACAAATAAATAATTTATCACCACATAAACAAACCCTTCCTTTATGTACTGCAATTAAGTCTACATTCCGAATATGCATACTTCCCTATTCTACATTAGATGAAATCAGTATGTGAAAAGAATAGAATGTACCAATTCACAGCATTCATAAAACAGTAGACGAAAAGTACCCAAATGCACTTAGCTTAAAGGGATACTACACCCAAAAAATGAAAATTCTGTAATTATTTACTCACCGTCAAGTTGTTCCAAACCTGTATGAATTAATTTCTTCTACTGAACACAAAAGAAGATATTTTGAAAAATGTGGGTAACTCATAGGCGGAGCTGTGTAAGGCTTAGCCTTCCCCTGGCCACGGGGACTTGGGGCAAAAATGCCACTAAATTGGACAAAAATGCCCCTGCACAAACAAATTAAAGATATTACGTCTGTTGCTAACAATGTGAATTTGAATAGACAGTGTCGATTGCGGCATTAAATTAAGATCTGCTCATGTTGCACGGCATTTTTTTTACAGCGTTGCGCATTTTAACCAATCACACACATATCTGTTGAGCTTAAGAATGCAATGGCCAATCAGAAGCGTTCAGATGAGTCATCGTTCAAACTTGCGCGCGCGTTCGCTGACTGAATTACGGACTCTTGCGAATTCTCTCATTATAAACAACAAAGTGCAAATGTAAGTAAGAGTTTCATTTAACAGTGTATACAGCTTCAGTGATTATAACAATGGTTTTGTTTTTTTGAGAGTGCTTAAACTCGCGATAGATCAATGTTAGTGATAATGACACTTTCTATATATAATTTATTCGGTTTTTGAATAACAGTGGAAAGGAAACGTTATATAATTATCAAGTTCTAACGTTTTTATTAAATTGTAATCACGTTAAATACAAATTCAGTCCCATTAAACATTTTTTTAGCCTACATGACACCCATGTCTGGTTCTTGACTAAAAAGACGGGTTTGATGTCGGTTTTTATGATGTTTAATACATTTGGCTGCTTTTAGCCTTACCCTGGAGTTGGTTCACCCTCCGCCTATGGGGTAACTAAACAGCTTTTGGTCCCCACTGACCATAGAATTTTTTTCTCCATACTATAGAAATCAATGGGGACCAGCCACCCTTTTGGTCACCCACATTCTTCAAAATATATTCTTTTATATTCAACTGAAGAAATAAACTCATACAGGTTTCGAATAACTTGAGTATGAGTAAATGGTAACAGAATGTTAATTTTTGGGTGAACTATGCCTTTAAATAGATGAATTCATACTATTATTACTACATACTACTATTTTTGAACAGTCACAAAGTAATAATTATTCAAAAGAAGCACCTAAGGTGCGTCCCAATTTGTGTAATTTGCACTATCTATGCCATTTTGTAGTATAGTGTGAGTATTTATTGCATTTATTTGAGCATAGCATTATAATTACAATACCATAGGCTATAGCAATAATTACTAGCTGACTGTTCATTATTCCTTACTTAAGAATTTATTTCCTGTGCTCTTGCAATATATTCTTTTGTGAGCAAACAGTTAGCAATGGCATAAGTACCTGAATCTAGGCCGATCCTGCTTCCATCCTTAAAGGCCGTCCCAGAATGCCACTCTGGTCTGGTATCTGATTTTGAGAAGGGTGAGATCATGATGCCCCCTGTTGGCCGATCCATTTGTAACAGGTTCAGGTAAGAGTTGGCACTGCTCTCAGCAGCCATGGGCTGTTGGTAGAGTATTTGAGGCAGTTCGAAGGCTGTGCCCTGTCTGGATGGACATGGCCAGAGGGATGACGATGATGATGATAGTACTGAGGGATTCACAATAACTCCCTGGGATGGAGGTGTAGGTTCCATGGATGTCAATTGGGTCAGCTTTGAGGAACCGGAAGGGTGTGTGGACTTAGTCCATGTTAGACCAGAAGAAGCCCATGATGATGATGATGATGGTACATCTGGGATAAGAAATGCATTAGACAGACAGACAGACCGATAGATAGATAGATAGATAGATAGATAGATAGATAGATAGATAGACGCACCAGATTTGGGAGTCCTACTGCTGTCCTTGGCTTTAGTACTGAGGTCTTTTGGTGTGGTTGCTTTATTCAGGGCACGGAAAAAGTGCTCATCCACTGCAGTGTTGATGTCGCCTTGATAGTATGTAAAGAGCTGGGGAGGATTTTTACAGTCCTCAGAGCGCTTTAACACTCTGTTCTCCATCATCCTGATTTAGGAATACAACATAGATGGATTATTTTACAAAACAGGTTCCATTTGGGTCCCCTATTTAAATGTGTAAACAAGATTTAACAATGAAATCTATCTAGCATTTTACATTGAAAAGCAATTAATCACCTTGGAATTATAAGGTTCTATCTGACATTTTTGTCAAAATTGAGTTATTCACATATTCTTATTCGGTGACAACTTATTTACATTATGTGATGTTTTTATTTTATTTTTTAAGTTGTGTACATTTTGGGACTGATGTATGAAAGAGACTTGTTCCACATATCACCATATGGAATGCAAAAACTTCGAAGCTCAATATCTCGAAACTGCTCAGAAAGCAGATAGAACCGTATAATTCCAAGGTGACAAATTTACTATCCTATATGTTAAAATAAATAAAATAGGAAACACTGTCATTACACCATTCTTTCAAGGAGTGAACTCTCTAAGGACGTTAAAGAGTTCTCATTAACACTTTATCTTATGTATTTTACAACATAACCCCTAATACAATTACAAACTAAACTTTTTCAAGCATTTTGTAATTTAATTACCTTGAGTACAAGGATTGTCATGTTAAACTGTAAAAATATTGGTTTCCACAAAAATATTAAGCAGCACAATTGTTTTCAATAACAGTAAGAAATCTTTCTTAAGCACCAAATCTGAGTATTAGAATGATTTCTGAAGGATCATGTGACACTGAAGATTCAAGAAAATAACTGCTGAAAATTCACAGGAATAATCGATATTTTGAAATTTATTACAATAGAAAACTCTTATTTTAAATTGTATATATATTTCAAAATAGTTGTAGCCTTGGTGAGCATAAGAGACTTCTTTCAACGATATTAAACAAATCTTACCAACCTCAAATGTTTAAAAAGTAGTGTATATTACGGTTTATGACTGTAGCTTGAGATGGTACAATGTCATTTATTAATATTTAAACATTATTTATTTGATAGAATATTTAAACCTCAGCCATCAAAAATGCTTAAAAGAAAATTATCCAACTGGTTAAAACTGGCTATACAAAATCCTTGAGGGGGAAAACGAAATATCATATAAATAAGCTCTTATTTAGAAATAAAGATACATTTAAAAAAACATTAGGTAAAAGCTATTAAAAAAAAAGACAAAATTAAATCCTCACTTCTAAATGGGAACAAGCTATACAGTTCCTGCTTACACTTTAAGCACTCCTTTCTCAAATTGAAACAGGACTTTAATTGCATTCACAAATAAATCAAAACACCAAACTGCTTACCGAACTGAATCCAGCCAACATTCAGCCACCGATCATACTAAAACAAAACGAATATGATACTAAGTGCAGGAGGTGCTCTTCTTTACATGTGCACTGAAAAATGCACCCGAGCGAGTTGAACAAGGTCTCTCAAACAGATAAAATCACAGCTGTCATTAGGCTTACATGTAACTACCCTTAAGGAAACTGCTTGTTTTTTTGTTCCCTTATAAACCAGAGATCTTGTTAGTGAGTGAAGCTAATAAACATCTTTTTCATGAAAGCAAGAAACAATGATGCAGTCACAAAAAGTTTTTTACTATAAAACTATTAACAGATGTTCAAATTGATTCAGACAAAGACACACATTAGCATAAAATCACACAAATTACTATTTTGTCAAATTTCCATTATTGTCCTTATTTTGATATGGTGAAACGCACAGACATGTCATGGGAATAAACAATTAAAAGGAAACATTGTATATTAGTATGAAGATGTTTTAGCAAGAGACATTAAACAAGTCCTACGCATCCTCATCACTTCCTGCTAAACTGCTATCGGTCGACGCTACTCCTCCTTCCTCTACCTCGTCGTGCTCCTTCTCATCTTTCCCCTCTTGCGGTTTTGCAGTGCTTTCGTTTGTATGTTCCTCCTGTCGAGTCTGTTCTGCTGTTTCTTGTGTGCTGGAATTTTGTTGTTCAACTGCTTTTGAGGAGTCTGCTATAGCTTTGGCAGATGCACTCTCATCACTCAGGAAAGAGGACCAGGTTTTCAGTCTCTCTTCTCGTTCTCGTGAGGTTTCCTCAACCTGGGTGACCAGAACCAAAATGTGAGACAAAGAAAAACAAGCAGAAGAGACAGAAATGATCAATGATTTTAGTTTCTTTTGTTGTGTTTGTCACTATATAGTGGGTATAGAAAATAATTACTCCCCTTTAAAATAATCACATTTTGTTGCTTTGCAGCCTGAAATGAAGATGGACACAGTTTTTGTTTTATCCAGCTGTATTTACGCAATATACAAGTGAAAGATATAACACCAACATGTCAGGAAAAAATAAAAAACCACAATCACTGAGTTGGAAAAATGATCACCCCCTTGTGCCAGTATTTTGTTGAACCACCTTTTGCTTTAATTACAGCCTTTAGTCTGTTGGGATACGTCTCTGTCTCTACTAACTTTGTCTAGACTTTGCAATATTTGCCCACTCTTCTTTGCAGAACTGCTCAAGTTCAGTTAAATTTGATGGTGAAATCTTTGTCTCATCTGCCTCAGAATCTTCAAGGTGTGTTTTGGCAAAGCTCAGTCGTGACTGCATGTGGCCTTTCTTGAGGAGTGGCTTTTTTCTTGCAACCCTCCCATACAAGCCACATTTGTGGAGTATTTTTAATAGCTGTCGTCACATGCACACAATGACCACTCTTTGTCATAAATTCCTGCAACTGCTTCAGAGTTGCTGTAGGCCTCTTGGTCGTATCTCTGACAAGTTTCCTCCTGGCTCATTCATCCAGTTTGGAGCGACGTCCTGAATTGAGTTTACAAGTCATTTCAACCCTCTACGCACACAGTGGCGATATAATTGCCATTTGCAAGTAAATGTTTTAGTTTACTCGCCAGACTACTATTTTACACACACACAACCAGCATATCTTCTGCTTGTTCTTAAAAGCTGAATAATTCTAAATGAACTTTTGACAGGAAAACACAACAAAGAATATCGTTTACATGTCGTCGATTCAGCGTGGTACGCAAGACTCTCGCTCTTCCTCTAGCGCTATCAGCAAAGTGGCGTCGAGTCGTGCGCCTTCACATTAGTTTACGTTGCGTCAAATACAGGTAAGCTGCGCATTCATTGAGCTGAATTGAAATAGTACAGATCGCTTGACAGAGAGTGACGCTCTCACTCAGTCAGATTGTTCTATGCTAAGCTTGTAATTAGCCTCTAACACACACACTGGCGAGTAAAATCTAAGAATTTATTAGCCAATGGCTAACGATAGACATTTATTCACCCAGAGTGAAGATTTACTCGCAATGCAGAGGGTTGCATTTTTAGAATGGGGGTGATCCTTTTTCCAGTGATTCGGTTTTTTTATTGATTTTTTTCTGACAGGTTGGTGTTATATCTTTCACTTGGAGTTATAAATTGCACTGAGTAAATACAGCTGGATAAAACAAAAACTGTCTTCATTTCAGGGTGCAAAGCCACAAAATGTGATTTTAAAGGGGAATTATTATTTTCTATACCTACTGTATGTCTCTATAGATTTACATTTATATTTCAGCTTTAGTTTTAGCAATTTTAGCAAAGTTAAACTAAATCAAAATGAGAAATGTTGCCTTGGCAACTGGCTGGCACTTTTTTCATTCAAAAATGCTTTTTCTTCAATGGTTTTAGTTTTTGTTAATGACCCTGAAATTGACCCTATTAACTTACGTAATATACATCTCTGGCCTAATTGTGCAGGTGATTCCAAAGGGAAAAATTTCTCTTTACACAATGTAATAACTTTCCTTTTCTGATGACATCATTAAGGTCATGCAAACGCGCATTCGGTTTTGTATGTATGTAACACGCATTACATGATTTAGCAAATTCCTGATGAATAAACTAAAGTCCCTCTCTACTTTTTTGATCTTCAAACATCCTGTTTCATTCAGAAAATATCAGATTGAGGAAGTAAAATGGGTTGCAAACAGCAATTCATGATGGCTTTAAATAGACCAAGTATTTTACCTGGTAGTCAGTTACACCATCCCACAGCTGTGCTGACAGTTTCCTCCCACCAAACCAGCGTCCATTCAGAGCTATCTGACACGTGTCCGCCTCTTCGGGTTCCTTAAAAGCCACAGATGCCACTCCATCAGGGTGCCTCTGATTTCCATGGAAAAAGCAAAGAGTATAGTGTTAGAAATGGCAGAAATAGAGACATTTGAATGGTTGCTGACTTTAAATGCAAATATGTTGTATTATAATAATTGTGGACAGGAGTAAAAGAGGACTTACATCAAAAATTACGACCTTCTTCACTTGCCCGAATTTCTCACATTCTGTGCGTAGATCATCTCTGTACTCATTCAGAACCAAAGGATCCTCCTGCATGAGACATAGGGCACAGCTCTTCAACAGATTATCAGTCAAAAGTTTGGACACATTTGACTTAAAGAGGTCATATGATGCGATTTAAATTTTTCCTTTCTCTTTGGAGTGTTACAAGCTCTTGGTGCATAAAGAAGATCTGTAAAGTTGCAAAGACTAAAGTCTCAAATCCAAAGAGATATTCTTTATAAAAGTTAAGAGTCAGCCATGCCTACCTAAAACAGCTCGTTCTAACACGTCCTCACATGTCTACGTCACGATGTGAGAAGATTTGCATAACGCCGCCCAAATGTTCATGCAAAGAACGAAGGCGTAACTTTTATTCTCGCTGTAGTATTGTTGCTGCCGCCGCCGCCATGTCGTGAAGGCACTGTGTGATTCGTTGTGAAAGCGAAACTACTTTGTTTGGCCTTCCAAAAGAGGACGGGGTCGTCACATGTGGTTGCCGCAAGCCCTCCGGACGCTGCTTCGTCGAATCCACCGCCTCTGCTCACTCTAGCCCGCCGGCCGTTCCTCACTTTATCCCCCGGCCTCTGCTCACTCTAGGCTGCCGCTCACTCAAGTGTGTGATGCTGTGTTTCGTTGTGAAAGCGAAACTACTTTGTTTGGCCTTCCAAAAATGGACACGACTACAAATCAGTGGTTAAGTTGTATTTACAACACTGTTCCAGAACACTTCAACCCAAATATTCAGATGTGTGCAGCACATTTTATGGAGGACTGTTTCCTGATCCTGGTAGATTACACTACAATGCCGGCTGTTCTGACTCACAGACTGCAAGTACGTTTTTTATATTTAAAGAGTTTTTATATTTTATATATTTAAGGCAATAAAAATAGTTTTTTAGGCAGTGTAGAGTAGGGCTTGTTGTTTGTAATTTCTCTGATCACAAATGCAGACATGGTTTTATGTTTACGCGGCGCGATGCAACGCAACGCATAAAAAGACAGTAAAAGTCATTATAATCCATAATTATGTCCCCACTGGATGCAACGAATGCCTCGTTTATAATGGGGTTTATTATTTCTGAATCATCGCTCCGGCCTGACAGGGTATCATCACAATATGGTAAGGGCCATAACATTTCCGTCACACGCTTGAGGTATTCGGCCAATCACAACGCACTAAATATCTGACCAATCACAGCACACCGCGCTTTTTTAGAACGTTGAGCTTTGTAAAAATCGACACGTTTCAGAAAGGCAGGGCATAGAGGAGAAACAATAATGAACAGTATGTGGAAAATAACGTGTTTTTTTAACCTTAAACCCATAAAAAGGTCATTACACCAAATACACAAAATAATGTTCTTTTTAGCAACATCATATGACCCCTTTAATTTATATTCCTCATTTAAAAAAACTTTGATCTAAAGGCTCAAGGTTAAACATTTAAATGAACTTTGTTGATAAATATAAATTGTGCCTAACAGGTACTAAAAATTTTTTTATATATATATAAAAAAAAAAATCTTAAAACGTATGAGGTTGGACATATTTTTGAATGTCCAGAATGTGCAGAGCTGAAATCTAGCAACTTTGAAGAAGCTGTAATATAATATGGAATTGGTTAGTTTAATATTGGTGGTTAATTTTGATACTTCCATTTGCTAATACTTTAACATCACAAATAATCAAAGGGTGAGTAAGTGTGTCCAAACATTTAATTGGCAGTGTACATTACTGTTTAAAATTTGGGGCTGGTAAGGCTTTTAAAAGTTATTAGTCTCTTATGCTCACCAAAGATACCGTAAATACAATAAAAACAGTAATATTGTGAAATATTATTATTATTACAATTTTAAGCATCATTACACAGGTCTTTAGTGCCACATTATCCTTTAGGAAATCATTCTAATATGCTGATTTGCTGCTCAAGAAACATTTCTTATTATTATCAATGTTGAAAACAGTTGTGCTGCTTAATATTTTTGTGGAAACCATAATACATTTTTTCATAAATTCTTTGATGAATAGAAACAACATTTAATTGCCGAATTGAGTTTAATTGAATTTAGTTGATAAGTTAAAATATTAATATTAATAGTAATCTTACTAAACTTTTGAACGATAGTGTGTATGTAGTTTCTCAGAATTAAATTATTATTTATAA